TCTTTATTTTAGTTCTAGATTTTAAACAGGGCGCTAGGCACAAGCTGTTTTGCTGGAGTTCTCCATTCCTCCTGTTTTCTGGCATCCATTTTGCTTTGCTCTGCCCAGGAGATGTGCATGTGTAGAGTGTCGTCAAGTTGCAGCCGACTTATGGTGACCCCCACAAGGGGCTTTCGAGGCAAGTGAGAAGCAGGGGTGCTTTATTATTGCCTTCCTCTGCAGGGCCTTCCTTGGTGGTCTCCCTTCCAAGTACTGAACCTGCTTCGCTTCCAAGACCTGACAAGTAGGGTTGCCAAGTACCTACCTACGAACTGGCGGGGGACACATGCTTCCCTGCCAGAAGATTCTTGCTTGTAACACAGGCGCTGCACTATTCCGTCGCCCAGACGTGACATAGGCACATAGCTGGGCGACGCTCTGGTAATAGGACTGGAAACTCGATGGTACCATCAAGTTTCCAGCCCCATTGCTACAGCGTCGCCCGGCTACGGGCCTACGTCACATCTGGGCGATGGAATAGTGCAGCATCTGTGTTTTCCCCGCAGGAATGGTCCTGCAAAGAACTATATATCCCCTGCCGAATCAAGGTAAGTACTTGAGAGCCCTGCTGACGAGACTGGGCTATACCATGCTGCCATCCCTCAGAGAGAGAGGGAGAGAGAGAGAGGAGGGAAGGTGATATGTACATACACACATAGACCCACCCAGACTCCACCCCCAAATCTCCAGGGATTTCCCAATCCAGGGCTGGCAACCCTATTTGTTGGCCTTACACACAATCACACACAACACATACACACTGGAATGGTGAGACTAAGGCTAATGATGGACAGGCGACGCAGAAACTTTTCTTGGCAATGCCACAGCGAAGGATACTTCCTCCATTCTCTTTGTCTGTATTTTCCTGATGGATCTTGCCACTCCAAATTCCCAGCTCTGGTTTCTGAAGTATCGATGACTGGGGAATTCCCCATGGTTTTCTATAGAGCACTGAAGATGCGGTGCTCGGTCTTTCATTTCGATGGCATTTGCTCCTCCCTCCGTGTTACCCACGTCCATAGTGTGAGAAATAAAAAGAAAAAAATAATTTCAGATGGGGTGGTGGTCAGTGTTCCCTCTAAGCTGAGTTAGTGTGAGCTAGCTCACAGTTCTTTAGCCTTTGGCTCACACATTTTTGCCTTCGCTCAGGAAGGATGGCTCCAGAGGAAACGAATTGATGCAGTAGCCAAATTGCACACTCACAACTTTCTTGCCAGTAGCTCACAAAGTAGAATCTTTGCTCACAGGACTCCACAGCTTAGAGGGAACATTGGTGGTGGTGGTGTGTCACATCAGATCCTCTTTCTGAACCGGACCGCAACTGGCTAAGCTCATCCTATCATATCTAGTTCACATTCTGATGTGGCAAAAGAGAGTGAAGGGGTTGGATCCAGCTAGCTTTCTCCCTCAGTCTTCACCCTCGCTCTCATCGCTTTTGTCCATGCAGGTCTCATGATGCCCAAGATTGCCATTGCAGGGAGGTGGGGAGATTAAAGGGGTCCCCTTCCTCTCTTTTCAGCCGGCGGAAAAAGTGGTTGGCTGCGGCTCAAGGAGTCCAAGACTTTGCCATCAGCAAGTATAATTGCAAACCTCTGATCCTTGGCACTGTTCTTCTTTACGAGACTTGACTTTAATTAGCTGGCGGAAGGAGAAGGAAGGAAGGCCCTTGAGAACAAACCACCCTTTTGTTTTCCTCTTGCGATCTGTTCTCTTTTCCAAACTGGACCTCTCCGCCTTTCAGCCTCGGAGGAGGCCAGGCAATCTGTCTGCTTGGCTCAGGGCAGACGGACGGCTCCGGCTGCAGACGGAACACAAAGCCAAGTTTTTACATGGTGGCAACCAAAACATGCTAGGGGCTGCTGCGGGGATGAATGACGTTCTCTGGAGTCCTTGAGTTCGGTGAACAAGACGACACCCAAGTCCAGACCCCGACGGGGTGGTTTTGAATTCCTCATCCCTGTTTCTCCAGCCTGAAAGTCTGTCCTTCAGTTTTGCTTCTGCAGTACATAAATCAAACCAGTGGCTGAATGAAATGAAATGAAATTCATGGAGACAGCCAGGGTAGAGCAGTGGTTAGATTGTCGAACTCGGGTCTGGGAGACCCAGGTTTGAATCCCCACTCTGCCTTGGAAGCTCACTGGGTGATCTTGGGCCAGTCACCTCCTCTTCAACCTAACCTGCTTCACAGGGTTGTTGTGAACATTAAATTGAGGAGAGGAGAAGGACGCAAGCCGCTTTGGAAACCCGATGGGGAGAAAGGTGCAGCGTGTAAATCAAGTGAATAAATAAATGAATAAATAGGGTTTTTTTAAAAAAAAGATTGTTCCATTTACTGTTTCCTCATAACAAATCTTGGACGCAAGCCGCTTTAGAAACCCATTGGGGAGAAAGGTATAGCGTGTAAATCAAGTGAATAAATAAATGAATAAACAGGGTTTTTTAAAAAAAAGATTGTTCCATT